ATATTTTCTCTGTCCCCAAACTCCCCCCCCCCTTCCTTATTTTGAAATATTCCCAGGATCTGGGAATTTTCTTTCCCTCCCTCCTCCTTTCTGTTTGCCTGAGAAAACTTTTGTTTTCATTCAAGGTTAACGCCCTGTAGCTGAAGCCAGAACCTACCCCAAAGTGTACATTTCTGCTAGTACCATTCCTTTATGGTACTACAGAAGCTCCCTGTTCACACATAGTAGGTGCCTTCACACCTGCTTCTCTTCTCCTCTGAATCTCCACTTGGAATCCTGCTTTAGTCACTGCTTTGGACTCTGCCAGTGGGTGCTCAGTGTGCTCTAATTGTGCTTACACCCTTACCTTGTGGATTTATTGGCTGCCCAAATTCTTTAAACCCCTGTCCAAAACTCATACCAGTGCTTGAAGCCTCCTCAGATACGCTCCTTCTTCACCTGTCTACCTTTTTAGCCTCTTGTCTCCTTCTTCTTGAGTGATATGTGTGCACATGTGGGCATCCCAGTATTTGATCTGGTTGCTATAGGCCTGATATTACTGTGACTGCTAATTATTCCCCTAACAATCTCTGCTTTCACCATATTCAGTGTCTCAGTACTTCTTCTAAACCTGTATTAGCAGCCTCTTCATTTTATCAAATGATTCCTTAATTGCCACTTGTGTTGGTCATGGGCTCGATTCAGCACTCAGGTGGGCATAATTCCCAAGCCAGTAATACATAGGAATGAGACAGCAGAAGGAAACACTCTCTTCCTCACACTCAGGCCACTTTTTTGCTTATTGAAAAAAATCCTGACAAGGGAGTCTAGTGAGGTATGAAGAAACTTCCCACCTGCTAAAGCAGCAGAACAAATGTCTGTTTCTGATCTGGCACAGGAAGTTGGGCCACCTCCCATTTCCACAGCAATGGGGCAGGAATCCTCTGGTGCTGGCGTTGGGAGCCCTGAACCCAAACATACTTATGAAGGTATACAGGGAACATTATATCACTTAAGCTAAAGGGATACTTAGATGTGTTCGTACTATCTAGAAAGCTAGAGAAATAGGGTGCTTAGTGTGAAACAGAAAGAGCGGTGTGTGTGTGTGTGTGTGTGTGAGAGAGAGAGAGAGAGAGAGAGAGAGAGAGAGAGAGAGAATGAATGAATGAATGAATATATAAAGGGGACTTTACTCCCCAAGCCCTTCCATTCTTTCTAGTCACTTTTAGAATAGCTTTACATTGTGCAGTGATTGCAATAAATGGCATGCAATCTTAAGAAAACCATAAATGAAGATTGGTGGTCCAGCTTCTAAGAAAAAGAAGAAAGGGTCTTGTGCTGCCTATAAGGTTCGCTATGTGAGTGTTGCTCTGTGTTTGATCCAAATTACCTCAGACCAACTTGCTTTATTATCACACAAAGCAGCAGCAGCGACCAATAAAACCATCCGACACAGTTAAATGTTCATCACATTATCAGCTGACAGCTCTTTACCCAGCATATTTTTCCTGAGCTCAGTAGCCTGCCACAGGTATGTGGTGGTGACAAGAGAAAAGTTCCTTTTTTTCCTTTTGTGAGTGATGAATTAATTATACACTTTATTTACGTTGGCTTCATTTGGACATCACATGCTGCAATGAAACTCTAAATCAAGCACAATTCCTTGTGATGACTGCTTGCTCGTCTCTTTCCTCTCCCACCTCCCTTTGGGCATGGAGCTTGTTGTTAAACTTCAAAGCATTAATTCCCTATGATGTCTGAGTGCAGGTGCCTTGGTAAATTGGAGTTTATTTGCTCCATACAAACTGTGTGGACATCACACTGAATTGGACCTTGATCAAACGGAGAAGTTGCGCATCCAGCTGCATGCATGAAGGCCAATGGGAGGAGCAAGGAGCGCACAAAGAGCACAGCAACAATGTTTGTGCCCCCACTGAAGTGTGACTTCCATTGGTTATGACATCTTAAGGCAGCCACTCAGAACTTTTCTGAGGAAAGATGTTTTTTAAGCATTAAAAAAGCAGGAATACCATTTTACTACTGGGAGACATATTCAATCACAGTTAAAATGCTATTTCTGAATGCCTATAAAAAAAGGCACTCAAAACTGTACAATGTAGAGCAATTCTGTGCAGTCAGAGGAATGAGCTAGAGGATATAAAAAGTATTTCTCCCCTTTCCATATGAAGTTGTAAATTCGTGTGCTCTTTTTTTCAGTGTTGTTTTCTTTTTTAAAGCAACCCCTACCCCAGTTTCTCAAGAATGTACAAGAAGAGGAACCAGGGACTGGAAAAACCAAAACAGTGTTAAAAAGCATTCTGTACATTTTGAAGGCCAGTAGTTTCTGATCAATTAAACGTAGCTCTACAAGATGTCTCTATTCCTTTTTCTCTCTCCTTTATTTCATTCCAATTCAGCAATAACTCTAGTTCTGCACTATTACACTTTTTAGACTGCAATTCTTACTACAATATGATAATTTTTGGAATCCGTATTGATGAACAAGACACTGGAGGCACTTCTGTACAGGAATTTCCCGCAATTTTTTTCATATTGAAAGGAGAAATACAGGAAGCATCTCTAAGGAAATGATGTTATGACATGAACACCGTCTCTGTGTGTGCAATGTGGCATCTGCCTCAGCCCAATCTTCCCCAGACATTGGAGGATGGCTGAGCATAGGTATTGGCTTTGATGCACTGAATTAATCAATACTATAGGTCCTGTTCACACTAGGGGTTTTGGGCTGGGAGCGGGACGGATCGGGGGCGGAGCAAACGGGCGCGATCCCACGGCAACATCTGGGAAGCGTTGCCTGCCCGTCCCCAATCTGTCCTTTCCGCCCGAAAACCCGCACTACAAAGAACCACCTACCAGGGTTGTTCTTCCGCGTGAGGCGCCGCAAGCCGGGCCGTCGGATCGCCGGCGCGTCTTTGCGCTGGCTCATCCCCGGCTCCTAGCCGAACTGCGCATGCTCCGACATGCGCAGTTCGGCAGGCTCCCCGTCTGAACTGTGTTTTTTCCCCGGCATCTGATCTGATCGTGGGATCCCGCCGCGGCGTCTCAACTTTGGCGCGGCTTTTAAAAGCCGCGCTTTGAGCGACTTATCCCCTGCCGTGTGGCAGGGGCCTAATTACAATATATCCAACTAACAGACACACAAAAGCCACGAAAAGAGAAACAAAGCATCATTGCTACTAATCAAACCCCAATTCCCCATCTCAACAACTCAGGCTTGCACAGCTTCCTGAAGGACATGAGGGTGGGTGGCTTCCTAACATTCTGGGGAAGACTGTTCCACAATATACAACATCACCATAAAAGCCCAAGAGTGACTAGTGGAAAGGCTCATGGGTATACAGGAGAGGGGACACAGAATAGACACTGCTGGATCAAATGGAGCTGCCTCATGGATTCCCACAGGAAACAGGAGGGGAACAAGCCATCTGAATTCAACTTGAACACAAACAGACAGTGAGTGCAAAACATTTCAAGATGGGAACAACAGGTGCAAAGCTGCTACTTCCACACAACAGTTGAGCTTTGAACACTTTGAATCACCTGCCACTGCCACTGTTGTCTTCAAGCGCAGCCCCACATCGAGCGCATTGTAATAATCAAGTCTTGAGGTATAGCGTATGCTTATGTGTGTGCAACCCAAGCAAGCAACAAAGGAAACACAATCACCTACCCATTTCCTTAAGTTCCATGTTGAAGAGTTCTAGCCAGCAAGCGTCTATTTCATCCAGATTGTAACGGCTTACTCGCTGGGAGTATGTCCTGGTGACTTCGAAGCTGTCAGAGCTGGACAAATTGCTTGGGGAGATCTGTGGTGAACAGTGCTCTAGCGCAGGAATGATCCTGGAAAAGAAAACAAGAAAAGATAAGGGTATCTCTGCCAACTGACACCCCCAGTTTCTCTGTCTCCAGCAGGCATTCCCAATTTCTCTGTTGCCACCAGGCATTAACAGCTGCCACCTACTGTGGTTCTCTTGAGGAAAGTTATCTGTGCTGCACAATTTGTTATTGTTAGGGAGCCTTTCCAAGAGGGAAGTGCGTATCACTGTAGGATCACCTACAGGCCCAGCTATTAGAAGGTACCAGCAGATGGAAGATGGGGTTTTTGAGTGGAGGACTAACATCTGGGAAAATCTCTTCCCACACATCAACTCTAGCAACTGACAAGTCTCAGCTACTCAATGTTCTGTTTGATCCTAACAGATGTGGCAGTGTTTGGTGATACTTCCTTTGTAGTATAGGAAAAAATGGAACTGTGCATCTCAGCAACTGTCTTTAATAACAGATTCTAATTGGAGCCAATCTACTGAGAGGTGGGGTATAAATACATTACATAAATAATCAGGGATGCAAGGAGGAAGGAACATGTTATGGATATTTGCACACTGAAATTATATATGTGTGTTGAGTGCTCAAAGAAACGAAAATGTAAAGGAATACCTAGGTTACATTCTATTAGTATTATGTAGGTATTTTTAAGCAGGAAAAAAAATATTAAGCTTATCTTCACTACAAACATAAGCTGTTTTAACTGTCATGATTTCTCCTAAGGGGATCATAATTTTGTGAGATCGTTAAGAATTCAATTAAAAAGATTCCCTTAACACTTCCACAGAGCTATAGTTGCTAAAGTTTCATGGGAGAAAGTGACAGTTAAAATGGTTGAGATTTGTAGTGAAAAGATGCCTACAGTTTTCAGTCATTTCTGGCTCAAAAAGACTCAGTACCTTGAGTGCATCCACTGTACTGAAGGCATCATCTTACTGAATCAGCGTCTCTCATTCTACAGGGCGGCTACGCCAGAATGGGCAAAGCTGTTTCAAAACAAGTGATTCTGAAGCACCTGCTCATTACGGAAGTCCAGCGTAGGTCAGCTCAAAAACAGTGCTGACTTCTGATTCCTTTAAAAGGGCAGGTACCTTTGAGGTGCTGTCAAAAATGATGGCACAAAATTAATGGTCTGCCTGGGAACAACCAGCCATGACCTTCCTGACAACCAGCAGATGCTTTTTAAAAAGTCTCTTTCGTGAGGAGAATAATGTGTACACATACTAAAGACTACGTACAGGCTTAACACACAGCAGAGTACTTGTGGTATTAAGAAAAAGGACTTCCTGAGTGACAAGAAAGCTTAAATGTTCAGCAGTGAGTCAAAGTTCTGAGTATTTCACCCCTGACCTTGCTGAAAAATCTCACTATTTAAGTGATTCACACGGCAAGCAGTCTCAGGGCAGACCAGTTCATTTCAATGAAACACTTGTACTGTGTCCGCACTGTGGGAGGTGCAGACCCTTTCTCTCACTCAAAGCAAGACTTTCACAGAGTCAAAAAGCTGATCCTCTATCAGCTAACAAGAAACAGGCAGCAAGGAATAAGGAGCCTCCTCCACCCTTGCCCCAAACTCAACCCTAAGGGCTTTAGTTGAGTAACTGCAGCACTTACTTCTAGGTAATTGCAAGTACCTCTGTAAGATCTGGACAGAGATCAGACAGAGCCCAAAACATTTTGGTATGTGAGCCAGTAAGGCCAAAGGCTGCCCTCATTTAGGAGTACATAATTAATAATAAAAATAATTATTTGTTGCTGTAGATTTTCCGGGTTGTGTGGCCGTGGTCTTGGCATTGTAGAACCTGACGTTTTGCCAGTAGCTGTGACTGGCATCCTCAGTGGTATAACACAGAAAGATAGAGTACTCTCTGTGTCAAAGTGAGAAGAAAAATGGTAGGCAGGTAATTTATATCTACTCCAGAAGGTGGGGTAGGGCTGAGTCATTATCTTGTAGGAGTTCCCCAGGCTATGAACATGCTAACGGAGGAGCTTTCCTGAGGAGGTTCTTTTGAATATGGATTGTTTCCTGAGGAGGTTCTTTTGTACGTGGATAGGCTGTTGAAATTCTAATCTTATCTGTAGTGCTATTGTCAGATGTAGAGCCTTTTGTGTTTTTCAGGACAGGAAACCATGCCCTATTTATTTTAAAACTCTCTTCTTTCCTGTTGAAATTGTGTTTATGTTTATGAATTTCAGTGGTTTCCCTGTGTAATCTGACATGGTAATTGGAAGTGTTGTCCAGCCTTTCAGTGTCTTGGAACAAAATACTGTGTCCTGTTTGAGTTAGGATATGTTCAGCCACTGCTGATTTTTCAGGTTGGCCAAGTCTGCAGTGTCTTTCATGTTCTTTTATTCTTGCCTGAATGCTATGCTGTGTGGTCCCGATGTAAACTTGTCCACAACTGCATGGTATGCGGTATACTTCTGCAGAAGTGAGGGAGTCTCTTTTGTCTTTTGCTTATCGTAGCATCTGTTGTATTTTTCTGGTGGGTCTGAATACTGTCTGTAGGTTGTGTTTTTTCGTAAGTTTCCCCATCTGATCAGTGATTCCTTTGATATATGGCAAAAACACTTTCCCTGTGGGAGACTGTTTTTACTCAGTTGTTTGTTTTGCCTTTGGTTTAATCGCTCTTCTGATTTCATTCTTGGGGTAGCCATTTGCTTGAAGTGCGTGATTTAGATGATTTAGTTCGTCATTGAGAAAGTGCGGTTCACATATCCGTCTTGCATGGTCTACTAATGTTTTGATTATGCCTCATTTTTGCTGAGGGTGCTGATTGGAGTTTTTGTGTAAATAACGGTCCGTGTGAGTTGGTTTTCTGTAGACCTTGTGACCTAACTGAAGGTTAGTTTTGCAGAGGACCAAGATATCTAGAAATGGGAGTTTACCCTCAACTTCTTTTTCCATGGTGAATTGTATGTTGGGGTGGATGTTGTTGAGATGGTCTAAAAACTCCATCAATTCTACTTCTCCGTGGCTCCAAATGATAAAGGTATCATATACGTACCAGAACCAGACTGTCAGTTTGTGGGGTGCAGATTCTAAAACTGTTTTTTTTCAAAATGTTCCATGTAGAAGTTTGCTATAACTGGGCTGAGAGGGCTTCCCATGGCAACCCCATCCATCTGTTCATAGAATTTGTTATCCCATTGGAAGTAACTGGTTGTCAAACAGTGGTGGAATAAGGCTGTTGTGTCATCTAGAAAAATCTGAATAACAAGCACGAGTGTGTCTTTTACCGGAATTATTTGCTGCTTTTTAATGGAACCCCAAAAATCTGCTTTCTGAGGCACACTGTTTTAATCTGCTTAATCATAGGCACCACCCTATAGTGGAGACAAATCTCTGATCTACTGGGATGTTGTAATGGCATCTCTAGCATTATATGGTTATGAATGACAACTACTTAAAATCAGAAATAATCTGAATGCCACAGAGACCTAATGACTGCACTTGCCAGCCCAATTAGATTTGAAGATATGAAGCCTTTTTAAAAAACAATAACTATGATTGAAAATTTAAAATTTTGAAGAATCTCTCAAGAACACATGAGGAACAGGAGTAAAGTATCCCCCTCCACAACTCTTCAACAGGAAGATAACACTAATTACCAATTGTAAAGGTTTTATCTTCTGGGAAGAAGACAGGCAAGGAAGGGGGAATTCAATTGCTCTCAAGTATCACCCACGTACCAACCATCTTACTTGGTAAATTCTAATGGCCATCCAGGCCAGAGACAATGAAATGGTCAGCTCACACCTTCACTGGAATCTGACACCTAGAAGGGACGCAGAGACTAAAGGGTACAAGGGGCTACAATGTATTTTCCTGGAGATTTCAGGAAATGATTCTTGGACTCACAAGGGAAAAATCCCACATATAATCCCTTTCACAGAGAGAATGGAGTCCATTCTGGCACATCCGTTCTAGCTGAATACATCTGGAGGAAGAAGCTCTCACACCTGAGTTCCATCTTGAGGCCACCATTTTCCACATCAAGCAGACAAAGAGGTGTGTGTCTGAACATATGTTCTTATCCACAGAGTGATTAACACATAGAATTCACAGCCACAGGAGGTGGTGGCGGCTACAAGCATGGACAGCTCCAAGGGGGAATTAGATAAACATAAGGAGCAGAGGTCCATCAGTAGCTGTTAGCCACAAGGTATAGATAGGAACTCTCGGTCTGGGGAAAGTGATGCTCTGTATTTTTGGTGCGGGGGGGGGCAACAGTGGGAGGGCTTCTAGTGTCCTGGCCTCACTGCTGGCACCTGGTATTTTTGGCCACTGTGTGACAAGAGTGTTGGACTGGATGGGCCATTGGCCTGATCCTACATTGGCTTCTCTTATGTTCTAACAAAGGCTCTGAGGTAATGGAAAACTTTCAGAACTCTGTAAGTTTTCTATAAGAGCCTGCCTTAGAGCAACATAAACTAGGGCATGCGTATAGTGAGAGACAGGGGAATTGCATGTTTACAGCTTTCTTTTGTATTCCTTGATCAAACTGTTGCTATGCAGAAAGCTTGTTTGTAGACTTTTTACTTTTAATACATTTTTGCTATTTCGAATGCACGTAGTTGTTCTCATACCACAGAGACCTCCACCATTCAAACACACTTGCCCCGGGGAAAGGGAGGTGGTCGGTTGCTAAACCACTATTTCCTCGGGAGCATGGAAGTGCCGTGAGCTATCCCCATAGTAATCAGTCACTGGGTAGCAAGAGACGCAGGCCCTAGGTGAAATCTTAAATCAGCAATGCAGGAGGGGAAGGTGGGAGCACTGGCACTCTTGGCGGGTAATTTGTAGAACAGCCAGCTGATGGCAGCATATCAAATGATAAATGAGCGAGGAAACCCCTCAAAGGGTCAGGCAAGCTGGGAGAGTGGCATGGTGTTGCATGGAGATTTTGACAGTTGCTGGGTACCTAAGATGTCTTGGGGGGGGGGGCACAACTGTAGTGGTACTTGCAGGTCAGCAGGGCCAATCTGCCACACCACTGCTCCAGTCCGGATGC